CGACGACGTCGTCGCCTTTTCTTTGGGCACGGCGATTTCGAGGCGCGGGCGGGCAATCGCACTCGGGCGCGCGGGCGTCGGCTTGACGTCCTTGGCCAACGACAGCGGCGTCGGACACAGCTTTGCGATCATCGATGGCTTGGGGCTGCTGCGGATGCACGGGTTGGGGCTGCTAATGGTTGATGGCTTCGGGCTGTTACGAACACAAGGCTTGGGGCAGCTTGGGACCGGGCTCTTGGTGACCGACGTCATCGGGCTGCTCATAATGGACGGCTTCGGGCTGCTGGGGACCGAAGACTTGCCGTTGGCGATGGACGAGCAAGGGCTGGTGGTGGCGGTAGACTTGGAGCCGTAGAGCTCGCGAACATCGTCGTCGTCTGAGTCGCTGGCGTCACTGCTGCTTCTGCTGTGTGTCGGCGTGTATGCTGGCCGGGGGCTGGGCATCTCCTCGGGCGACTCTGGCTCGAGCTGCTGGTTCATAAACTCAAAGAACTCGTCGTACTCGTTGTTGAGCGACTGGATGTTTTCCAAGTCGAGGTCGACCGATGTGACGGTCTCGTCGTCCGAGTGCATGCTCTGTGTCTCGCTTGACTGCGAAACACTCGGCAAGTGGGCCAGCGGCTTCCCGGCCAGCTCCAGCACATCCATGGTCGACGCGACCGAGCACGTGTCGACATCCTCTTCTTCAATCGCAGGCAGTGCGAGGAACGACGGACTTTGCATTTCGGCCACGTCATCTGCTTCTTCGTCGCCATTGACGTGGCCGACTTCGTCGCATGTCTCTGTCGCTGGCACTGGCGACGCGTCCAGCTCGATGACAAGCTCGGGGTGCGCAGTCAAGGCGGCCATGTAGCTTGGCTCGTGCTCGAGCTCGATCACGATCTCTGGCTGGGCACTCTGCACGGGCGTGCCCTCGAGTTCGATGACAATCTCAGGGTGGTCCTGGCTCGACGCCCAGTCTGAGCGCGGCACAAAGCCATCGTCGTCTTCGTCCTCGTCGTCCGAGTCGCACTCGATGAGCAGCTCGGGGTGCTCGTTCTGCTTTTGGATGGCGATCCACGCCGGTGCATCTTCGAGCACGAGCTCGGGGCGCGCCAGCACGGCGCTGGCCTCCACGTCCGTCTCGGTCTCCTCGGGCGCCGGCTCGTCGCTCTCTGTCTGGTTGCTACGCCGGGCTTCGCCGCACTCGAGGCAGCTCGTGTCGACAAAGTCGGAACTGTACCGATGCGAGCAGAGTCGATGCTACAAGACGACTATTATGAGCCTCAAGGAGGACGAGGCTGCTGGACGTACGAGGTGGACCATGCCATGGAGCTTCCGGGCGACGTACTCGGGCAGGATGGGCCCGTCCGTGGCGAGGCTCTCAAAGACTTCGACGAGGAGGTCCTCGAGCTCATGCGTGCAGTCCGACATGCTCGGGCAGCGTGTTTGTGTCCCAAGCGCTCAAAACGCCGATTGTTCTCCGCGCAAATCGCCACGCGCCAGCGTTTTCCACTCGTTCGACGTGTTCATTGGCTATATGAGCCAACATTTCCAAGCATTTTGGCCAATACGATACCCGCCAGTGCCCCGTGGTTCGATGGAGCGGATGGAGCCAATGACGCGGTCGAGTGGCGATGGTATGTATCTCAGCCATGTCTCAATATACCATAGTTTATGCATATCGTCTCAATATGTTTATGACCCAGGCGAACGCCGGAGCTCAATGCTGAAAGATGTGGCCATAGACATAGGCTTCACAAGAGCAGGCTTGCATTTCATGGCATTGCACCATGTAGGGTACACTAGAGCGGCTTGCAGCCGAGGGTCGTGCTTGGTGCAGTCGCGCCCATGCAGACACGGGTGAGAAAAAGCGGGTTTGGCTCTATTTATACAGTCTGCGCGGTTGGAACATCGAACCCTGCACGCAACGCCTGTACCTACAAGCGAATGCCGCTGGTGCATGCTGTAAGGAACCTCCACGAGAGCAGTTGATTGTGGTTGTCCCGCTAGCATTGCAGGAAACGGGCAGCAACGAGAGGTTGAGAGACGCTTTCGGGACGCCATGGACGGCGCGTCATGTTCACAGGTCGACAAGTAGCCGGGTGCAGTTGATGGACAAGGGGCGGGCGCGCAATTTGATTCGTCGACAGCGGGCGTCGCTGGTAACAAGGCCAAAGAAGGCGTGGGAGGTCCAGCACATCCCGGTCTGGAATCCTGGAAACAGTGGCACGTGGTGCACTGTAGTCATTGACCCAAGCAGCGACAGCCACAGATCGCACGCACCCGGTCAAACCATCAGTAGTATGCAGCTCCTTTCTGGCTACTCGGAACCTCTCTGGCAGCTTGCCCTCAGCTGCGCGTCCGTCGTTGCGAAGCTAAAGCTGCCTCGCCGCACGGCTACAGTGTAGCTCGCCTACACAAATCCTCCGTACCGTAATGAGGCAGGCGCTGTGCGCAGTGATAGCTCGAAACGTGCATCGACTCGTTCCGCCCAAGACTGGTCGTTTCAATCCCACAAGTGGATTGGGTTCGTGGACTATGGCCATGCAGCGTACTACTACATATGTATGAGTAGAACGCAAAAGCAATTTCACCGATATCACCAACCACCAAGCAACAGCTCCAAGTCGTACTTGACGAGGTTGGAAGCGCGAGCCAACATGCTATGTTTGTCTACCAACTTGACATTAGATGTTTATTTTAGTTTAGGTACTATTTAGTTGAGACATTCATATGTAGGTTGGCCATTTTATATTGAAGTATGGTACTAGTGTACAGTGGTGCTGTTGTGTCGTCGTCAGCGTCCTTCGCGGTCGCTGGGGTCATCGGCTTGGTTGTGGGCTACTCGTCCACGCTGTGCGAATAGCAGCGCCCTTTGGCTTGGGCGCCCTTGGCGCACCCCTCGACGCTGCAGCGCTTGCCGCCACCGTGCGTCGTGCAGAGCCCCTTGCCTTGGCTGCTCTTGTTGCAGCCTGGAAGCGTGCAGCGCGCACCGCCGCCATGCGCCTTGCACATGCCCCGCGACTGCACCACGTTGCTGCAGTGGGGAAACGTGCACTTTTTGCCGCCGCCGTGCTTGATGCAGAAGAAGCCCCCGACGCTGCAGGTCGTGCAGCCGACCGCGAGGCAGCGCTTGCCACCGCCGTGCATCTTGCACAAGCCTCGGGACCGCACGCGGTTCTCGCACGTCTCGACCGAACACTTTTTCGGGCCCTTGTAGCTGCGGCGGGTCGGGCTCGTGTGGAGAGTGGTCGGCGCGGGCGGTGGCAGCACGGCGGCGCTGAGGAGCCGTTCGACTTCGTCCCAGTCTTGCGGGTGAATGTAGTCGGCGTCTAGAAGCGAGGTCTCGAGCTCCACCTTGAGTGGTGCGCCGTCACTAAAGAGCCAATCGATGGCAGAGACCTGGGTCATCTTGCTTGCTTGTTGCTGCGTCGTCAATTGGCAATTGACGAGGCCACGGACGACCGTCCACGCGGGCACACTATCGCAGAAGAATGCGGAATTGAGAATTGAGAATGGAGCTCATATTTCTTCCGATTCGCCCTTTGCGTGAAAAGGGCCAGCCGACTGACTCGTCAATATGCGACTTCTGGAAAAGTTAGTAGCTAGGACGTTTGATATTGAATACGCGCAATTCGCACCACGAGGAAGAAGAGTGTCACACATCGATGGATCTGCAGTCTTGAATGCCGCAAGCCGAAGAGCTCGACACAATCCAGAACTCCAGTAACCACATCAGCAACGAGGCAGCCACCGCCAGTAGCTCGACTTTTCACCTCTAGCGCTCTATTGCGAAGCAAGCGACGTTCATGCTCTGGCTTCGAGTGCCTACCTCGTTGCAGGTCTACTCCGACCGTACTCTGTGCGTCTCGGCAACGAGCCTAATATCGTCACGGAGTGTATAACATCGTCGGGCGGTTCAATTATCGTGGTCATTCCACAGCGCGCTCCGTCACGATAAGACCTTGTCTGTGTAGTGAAGCGGGCGTCGCGAGGTCGGTCAGGTGCTCGCGCATATCGATCCAGCCTCCGCGTGCATTTTGCGAGGGTTCTGGTTGGTGGATGAGCAGGGGACGTACTTTCAAAGTTACCTTGTTAATTACATTACAGTTTCTCTAGCTTTCTTTTCTACGGGTTATAATCTCCTACTATATCATCATCTTACGCAGTGTGCGTTGCTTGGTGCTTGTCGTCCGGGTACATGAGCCGTCGATGGACGCCGCGGTGACCCGCGCAGCTCAAGAGGCAGCTCAGCGGCGACGGGCTGAACCGGGTTGGGCGAAAGTACTGCAGCGCGAAATACGAGTCCTCAAAGAGCGCGACAACCTTCTGAAAGGCAAAACTGGCCGCGCTCACATTGCGCTCGGGGTGGATCGGGTCTTCGATGACCATATGCGCCTTCACAAACGGAGACGGCCCTTCGTCGTGAAGCCGGAAGATGAACCCGCCGTTGCGCACGCTCATGCCGCTCTTCTGGTAGTTGAAAATGCAGCCAAAAAACTCGAGCATGCGCACCGCGTGGGCGCCAAGACACACGGGCCAGTGCGATTGGTCGGGGTCTTCGCGCTCGTCGGCCGACGTGTCTTCCGTGTCGGCCTGGCTGCTCGCCACGCTCACGGCTTCGAGGTGGTCGTCCTTGCTTGACTCCTTCATTGCGATCGACGCGTAGCTGGTTGAGGCCATCGCGGGATGACGGGTGGCCTTGGCGCTCGAGCTGCCCACGGCCACGGCAGCGTACGACAACGTCGTAAACGGCTCGGTTTCGACGACCGACGCGTACGATTTCACAGCCGACGGCGCCTCGACAGGCTTGGTCGGCAGCTTCTTTGGGGACGGCGCAGTAGCAGAGGGCTTGGCAGGCGACATAGGCGTCGTTGCCTCGACTTTGTCAGTGTCTTCGATCGTGATGGCTTCCGACGGCAATGACCCGGACGCATAAATCATCGCGGCCTTGAACGCCGTGGGACCGGCACTACGTAGACTATATGAGATTTACCATCTCTTCAGGTCGTGTGCGCACCGCCACAACTGCGAGAAATGCACAATCATAAGCACAATCGAGTACGAGCTGACGCCGCCGCTGTAGCAGTCGTTCAGCCCGCGCTCGCGCAAAAGTTGCTTGAACACGATTGCCAATGGGTACAGCTCCGGCAGTTCGTCCACAAGGCTCTTGACAAGATCTCTAAACATCCCAGTCGTATAAGCATGCCGGTATCGGCAGAATCAAGGGTACCGCGCCAAAAGTCCGCTGTGCGTGTTGGACGACTCGAACGTTATGTCGATTGGCACGGACGAGTCGAGGCTGACAAGCTTGAGCAGCGGGATCTTGGCCGTGTCGACCATCACAATCGACTCGACCCATTTTTCGCTCCGGAGCTGCGCGGCAAGACGCTTCAAGTGCACGACAGGCGAGTCGGCCGGGTCTCCGACTCCCTACAACCAAAGCACATGGAGTGATTCGGTTCGGCAGAAACAGTACGTACGAGAATGACCAAGTCAATGTCGCTCGTGGGCAGCCAAATGCCCGTCGAGTACGAGCCGTACGTGTCCACGCTGGCGTCGGGCCAGAGCTTGCGCACGCAGTTGCGCACCATCTCGATCGTCTTTTCAATGTGGATGGCCATCTCAGCCACAATGGCCTTGGTGTACCGCGCATACTCGACAATCTCCTTGTGGAGGCTACAACGGCGGTCAGTCTCGAAGGCGCACATGGCAGCTTCGTACCTATCGTGTAACTCCGCAGGAAAGCAGGGCTTTGAGAGCTCCGCGTCCGTCTTCCAGCTCGGCTGCTTCGGGCCACGCGCCGTCTCTTGGCGCGAGATCGTCAGCGCCGGGGTGGGCTTGATCACGGGCGCGGTGAGCACAGGAGGAGGCGTCAGCGCAGCCTTCTTTCGCTTGACGAGGTCCGGTTCAATCGTCGGCAACACCCAGGCGCCAAGCGTGTTGGTGGGCGTCTTCTTGACCTTCTTGAGGTCTTTGTCTAGGCGCCATGTCAAAGGCGATGGAGGCGCGGAGCTTGTACCCTTCTTGGCGCTCGGCTTGGTCGGCGGAGGAACGGTCTTCTTCTTGCTAGCCGCCGTCATCGAGGAGGTCGTCGGGTGCATACGACGACGTTGCATGACACCAAGGGCAATGTCGGCTCTCCTGCGGCAAAACCTACTCTGAGTTCAATGGTGAGTTTGCTGGTCGGCCAGTTGGGATGGTTGGATAAAAAAATTCGACACCGACTGACTTGATTACCGAGTGTATTTTTATTGCAGCCGTAGCCTAGGTTTCTATGCAGCCTGTATTAAAATGCGACGCGCACCAGGTGCTGGATCCCTTTAAAATAGAATGCTCTCGTGGCCATGGCCAATGTATTTTTATATTTGCAGCGGTTCGTATTAATATAAGCGCGTCGCGTATTCTTTTAATACGCCGCGTGGTGTTCGTGGCGATTCATCCGTGCCAACTTTATATTATTATTGCCGACGAGGTTTATATTTCTGCCAATGAAAGGCCGAAAGCACTTGAAGTTTGTATGAAAGAGGCAGAGAGGAGTGATGTGGCTGCCGAGTTGGCTGCAAAAGTCACAGGATTTGCCACCGCCGATTACGATAGCCAATATGCAGGATAGCACCATTTGTGGCCGTCGACGAGACCATCGGAGGGTGGGCTGCACAGTGGGCCTTATCTCCGGAACTGCCAACTGCAGTGGACGCCCGCGACGAGCCATCGTCCATCGTCAAGCCGGACGTTGGTCGGAGCGTTCCGTCGCAACGAGCTCGGATACAGTGTACCTTCATGGATGACAACAGCTGTTTGGTCCTGTTTCATACGCTGGAACTTGTTTAGGGATCAATACAGTGTATACGCGTGCGCTTAGTTTAATTGGTTTACTCGTCGTCGTCATAGTCCATCGAGTCGTACTCTTCGTCTTCGACGTTGAGCTCGAGCATGAGCGTCTTCATGCGACCGAGCACGTTGGACGCCGCCGTGACCGTAATCGACGAATGCCGCTTCATGGCCACGAGTGCAATGTCGCGCTCGCTCGTCTGCATCGGCTCGGACTCGTCGAGCGCAAGGACGATGCTACCATCAGCGACATCCTCGAGCTGCGCTTGGACCTGTGGCGTCAAGTGCTGGATCCACGCTTGCTTGGTCGACACTAATCCAGCGCACTCTTGAATCCCCACGCGTGTCCAGATCGAAATCACATACCCAAGGACGAAAACTGCGCCATGTCGACGGACAAAATGCGTTCGTGAAGGTGCGGCATGATAGCGTGGAGGCCTTCGTCGAGGAGAGAGTACGCGCCTTGGTGCACCTGGAACGCGGCCGTGCCCGCCTTGTGCGCGTTAAGCTTCCCGGTAAAGGCCCGCAGCACCTACGACTTGATCGTTAGGTTGAGGCATCCCTTTCATCCGATTACCTCGGCCACGGCCGGCGTCACGTAGTGCACGTCACGCGTCTTGGAGATCTTGACGTGTTCGAGGAGCTGGTCCTCCGAGAGGTCCAGCGCAAACCGCTCCACGAGCTCTCCATAGTGCTTGGGCTCAATCGCAGCGTAGAGACCGATGCGCTTGACATCCTTGGCCTTCTTGGCCGTCGAAGGCGCACCCGTCGACGGCATCGCTGGCCCCACAGCGATGCGTGCATGTTCGGCTGTCTTTTGGACCACGGCGACGAAGAAGCCGTGCGTGTCGTTGTCGTGCGGCAAGACCCGACGGCACCGGTCAAGGTGGAAGCGCGCGGCTTCGGCCTTGGTCGGCGCAAACATCGACGGGCGGAGCTTGTACGTGCGGCGGTTGGCCTCGGACGCAGCGTCGTACGACGCAAACGGCGTCATCTCGTCGTTGCAGACCTTCCACGCGCTCACGCCCGCGCGCGTCTTGAGCTCGGGCACACGCGTCGACGCATCGACCAGCTACATACCGCATGAGCCTCGTTCGTCGCATCAAAAACGGGTACCTCGTAAGCACCGTTGCTGCCGCGGAGGAGCTGCGCGACGATCGCTTCGTTTTCAATCGGATGGAACGAGCGCGTGCAGTAGACCATGTGACCACCGACCTAGGTTCACGCTCCTTGTCATGCCTTGTCATTACGTCCGAAAAGTACCTTGAGCGAGTGCATCGCCTTCTGCGCGAGCTCGAGCTGGGTCGCATGGTGGGCGAACGCCGCCGTCGGCGTCCAGTTGCGCCACTTTTCCGGGTACTTGCGGATCGAACCGTCGCCCGAGCACGGCACGGAGCAGAGCACGCGGTCGAAGAGGAAGACGTCGGCAGCTTCTGGAAACTCTTCCGTCTAGCAAAAGCGTTGAGATGCATGACAAAGAACGTCGTGTATACCTTGTGCGCCGTGACAACGACGTTGGACGCATTGCCAACCGTGTGCGCGACGACGCGGGCGGCTTTGGTCGCGCTCGCAGCGTCAGGCTCGTTGATGACGAGCGCACCCGTCGGCGCCTTGGACTCGGCGTCAAGCATACGCTCCACAAACGGCGCCGCCCGACTCGCGCCCGACCCGTGCAAATCGAGGACCTAGTGCACATGTGTTGTTGTATCGGCTGAGACAAATGTAGAAGTACGTTGTGATGCGGCTGGACGTCCAGGAAGCGGGGCAGGAGCATGTTCATGGCCTCCTGACGCAAGACAGTCCCGATCAGCGTCTGGTCGCGAATAAAATTGTTGATCGCTTGGAGCCGCGGCGTCTTGCGCAAAAGCTTGCTGTCCACGTTGATCTATAAGAACGCATATAAGCCGATGGAATGGAGGTCCGAAATACCTTGAAGATCGAAGGGTCGTATGCTACCGCACCGAGAGAGAGCGTGCGCTCGCCACCCGTCGGCAGCTTGAGCACGGCACCCGTCACGTCAAAATCGCAGTCGAGACTGCCCTTGGCGATTTCGCTCAAGCTCGGAAACGTTTCTACAAAGACGTTCGTCCAGGAGTGGCTGTGGAGTGGAGCTACCGTTGATACGAAAGTACACGGACGGCGGGCTCTCGAGCACGCGACTCAGCGTCTTCCACTCGTCCTTGGGCAACTGAAAGAGGTCGCCGTAGTAGTCTTCAAAGAGCGTGTTTTCGCGGCCAAACTTGCGCCACACGACCTTCTCGGACCGGATCGCCTTTTGCTGCATCGTCTTGATCTTGCGCTGCTCGAGCGACTCGCCCGGCACCGCCTGCTTCTTGGACGGCGCAGGCTCGTTCGCAATGTACACGGGCTTGTCCGACTTGGTCTTCTTGTTGGCCTTGGTCTTCTTGGCCTTGGGCGCCGGCTTGGCCGCGGCCTCGCCCGTAAAGTCACGCACGGGCGCGTTCTCAAGCGACGCCAGTGGCACCGCCTGCTTGAAGTTGACGTGCGAATCGTCGTCGCTCGAATCGCTGTAGTACGCCTTGCGCTTGATGGCGCCTTGCGGCGCGCCACCCTTCTTGCCCTTGGCCATTGTTGGTTAGCACAAACCTGAAATGATTGGCTCTCCCCATCCGACGAGCTCGCCTCTGATTTGTCGGTTCGTTTTACGTGCGAACGAGTGGAATTATACGATAGTCGTGCAAATATCCGTAAATAAACGTAAATAGACGGTAGCAATGGTGGATCCGCCCGGCCATGTAGTAGAATTGAGTTGTCGCGCCGGAAGATACATGACCATGAGTTGTAAACCACTCGATGCTCTATTGTCTGCATGATATGCGCTGTCGTATCCTCCAACGGAGAATGGCTCACGTTTCCTCGCAAACGGGCAGTAACATCACTCGATGGTAACCACAAGACACCACACGACTGCGTCGATGTCCAGCTTGGTCTCGCTTCACACGTTGCACATTTTAACTACCAGATCAGGCGAAGACAGTACTGAACTAATGTTTCAAGGTGTGTCGCGTTAATTTGGGGCGCCAGGGTTGTTGCAAGCGACATCCAAGTTGCCCGGCAATCCAAGCCAAACTGGCTTGGATGCGCGTTGGCTCAGCCAATGCACCGTGTCAATGCATTGTACCGCGTTGGACTTTTTGTGGGGCATCAATCCTCTCTGTGATCTGAGATGGAGCAGATAGTAGTCGATGCGACTTTGCGATCATCGCCTCCGGATGTTGAGAATGCGTGCAAAGCGGCAAGATCGGTCCGAAACGTCGAGAGACGAGGAGCAAGTTACCTCGCCTTGTCAAGACGGCGTCGGTGTTCATCCATATTTAGGCGTGTCTGATCCGCACTGCATTTGTCTGGGCTCGTGAGTTCGGCTGATGTTTGAGAGACGCAGCGCTACTATCGTACGCCAATGTCTTTGTTGCAAAAGGAGCGCAGGCCTGCATGGGCCTTGGGCGTACCATGTATCCTAGGGGTTGGGTGTGCGTATAATCGCTTGTACACGCCGCACTACTCGTCGCAGCCCCGCACACGCGTGCCACAGGCCATCTGCGACGGGCCGCTCATCACGACACCTTTATCAAACAGCGACGTCCGAGAACGTCCGTGGCGTTTTTCATCAACACAAGGTGTCGCTACGATGAATACGTCCGGATACCAATTGTGTATCCGGCAGCGACGCCGGCCCAGAGTGCACGGCGTTAATAAGGGGTTAATTCCGCGCTTCGTGTCGCTGTGATGCGCTTGACGAGCCTGTTTTTCTGCGTATTCATGGGATTGCCGTGACTGCAACGCTGGCGGTCGACAAGTTAAAAAACGTCTATCGGTCTCGCTTGCATCGATGCGGGGTGGCGTTCTTAAAGTTTGGAGCGCGCTGCTATCAACATCGCGGCACAGTCGAGAGGAACCCCGTATATGCGCCATTAATTGTTACCATATCGTCTTCCGTTGTTCGCATGCGACGCAATCTGCCCTACCACACAGACACCTTGCCCACGTGTCTGTTCATGTCGATAGTAGCGCCCCCCAGTATACGAATATGTCACCACGAAGCCTCGTTGCGTGTTTTTATTAATAATCCTCAAAAATCGTGCAGATAAACCGACGTTGACCACCAGTACACGTGCCGCAATTTGATTTCTTAAGTTTTACAATAATTCCCTTAAAAGCACTGCACGACATCGATAGTATATTAGTCGACGTTGTACCCATTAAAGTGACTGCGGCAAAGACCGTCCGTCTTTGCGATATGCTTGCAGCCAGACCGCTGGCACTGGCGATGCTTGGCTTCGTAATAATAGTGTTTCATGCAGAGACCCCGCGACTTGGCGGCGAGAGTGCACTCGGCCATCGAGCAGAGCCGCTTGGAAGCCATGACTTTGGTGATGGGCGAAATATCCTGAGCGCCGTCGACTTGCTTCGCCGGAGGTCGCACCACGTCGCTTGTGCGAAGCTCGCTCTCCATCGTTTGCTGGGTCGGTACGAGGGACTCTTCCGGTGTCATTTCGGCAGCCACATCCTCGATCATCTCGGCAGCCACGTTGGTCTCGACTGCGTCGGGCTCATCAAAGGCATCGTCGAAATCTGGCGAAGCGACGGACGCGTCATCGTCTGCACCACCGATGGGCACCGAGGCATCCGCCGACCGCGTAGGATTCGAGCCGAACGGGTGGAACGACGCCACTTGGCGAGGTCGGCCGCGCGGTCGACCGACCGGCCGCTTTACGGCCGAGCTCTTTCGGAGCGGCAGCATTTTAAACACGGACGGTCGCTTCATGCGCACCTCGGTCGAGGGCGGTGGCTTTGCAAGAAGGTGCAAAAGGGCGTCGGGCTCCGTGACGACAAACGTCACCATCGACTGGCCTTCCGCGTGCACACTGAGCGCGTCCCGCTTGCAGCGAAAACAGAAGTCGACTGGGTATCGCTTCCGGGGCTGCAGCTCCAGAGACCGAATGTGCTGCGTGCAGTAGTAATTGCGGACTTGGGGCGCACCGCACGTCTCAACGGCGCAGAGATCGAGGGCCACGTACATGTGGCTGCTAGGCTCTGGCTTGCCGCCACATGCAGAGCACACGACAAGCTTCTTCGCCTGGCCAGCGTCGAGCTGCATGCCAGCGCCCAAGATATTCATCACGCGCTCGGTCGGTCACTCGGCTGGAAATTTTGAATGCTATCGCCGCGGCCGGTTCATATTTTTATCCGGATAACAAAATGGTATACGGATTCTACCCTGTCCGATAGGGTCCTAACGAAGCAACTCGATGGTCTGGTGCGACTTCCTACTATGCCATGATTGCTTACTGTCAGGACCAAGTCCTCACCACATAGCGTCAGCTCTGGAGTTGATATCAGCGCGATATCCCACCTCGCTACTGTGCAATTTGAGTCGTTTAGAGGGCTGTTCAAGAACGAGTCGAAACTAGACTCGCAACCAACGGTTTTATGGTTCCAGATTTGCCCCTTGTTGACTGCTAAAAGCTCGGTAAAAATAATGACGCCTCTTTTCAGGAGTTGAAAAACTTTTTGACGCGGCGAGACATATTTTAGCAAAAGCCAACCAATTTAAACAGTGGGGAAGACTTCCGGGAAGACTTCAGGATTCTCGAGCCGATGGCGCGTTACTACCTACTTACCTACAAGTACAGTACCTCGACGCACTCGACCTTTAACGCCGATTTCTATTGCGAAAGGGTGGTCGGGGTAACGTTCACGTTACACTTAATATGTGTGGATAGGATGGCCAATTGGCCATCCACTGCTGCTCCAAGGGCAGCTAGTGATCACGACGCTCGCTTTAGCATTTGCTTTTTATCCAACACGCTTGGCTTTATTGAGGACTTGCCGCCTCCTATTGTATTGCGTCTCGTTGGGTCTTGTTAAAGTACCTCGCTCTCGCTTGAAGTACGGAGTACAGCACAAAAGAGGAGCTGGGACCATCCACACCCTTGATTTGCACTCGTCGCGTGAGTGTAGTCGTCCTTTTAATGGCATAGCGACTAAGAACTACCAAGCATCATAACGCTTCATACAGGCGATTCAAAATCACACACATATTGAGCTTTGCGTCGTAGTTTGTCGGCCCCTTGCGCGTCGTCCATGTAGTTGGCGACGTGCTTGACGTCACGGTCGCGTGCGATCCACGCAAATATTTGAAAGCGGGTAGAAGGGAAGGACCCCTTACCCTCTTGGTGGTTATCTCTGTTGAAGCGTCGGGGGTTACTCGCATCTTCATTCGCCAGTAAATGAAGCTTCACGTTTAGATGAGACAACAAGTTTTGCTCTGTGTGAGGCTTGGATCGTCGATCTACCTTGGGTTAATCCCCTCTTACCGTCGCCGCTTCTACATTACATGCAAAAAGAACCTAGGACCGCGGGCGAATGTCTATCTGTGTAAACCAGTTTACAGCATATAGCGTAAAAACACCATTCGTTCCATAATTCTTTAAATCCGATCATTTCTGAGACTCTATATCTAGAGAACGTTATGGCTTGTTGTGCCGTGCATATCTATGAAGGATAAACACCCGACGGGATTCCTAAGCCAGCACTATTTAATAGGCTCCAAAAACCTGGGCTATGTGCGCTGGTTGGTCCTGCAAGTCCTTTGACCAAGGATATCCCCGATATACTAACGCTACATCTTTCTTGCAGCAAAGTGTTGGGCTTCTAGGCTGCGGTGCAATGCTGTCACGCCGTGGACTAGAACCCAGTGGAGCGTTGGAGCATGTCAGGTAGCGCCGACCATCGCGACGAAGTCGATCTCGTCGAGCGTCCGGTGCGAAATGTAGCAATTCGGGAAGACGGGGATGTTGAACTGCCTGGGAAATGCGATTGAGACGTTCGGGTGCAGCGGATCTAAGGGCGGGTGTACATCGGGCGCACCTACTTTCACATCCGTGCCAATCGCGGAGACAATCATACAGACCGAAAACACTAACGCCAAGATGAAAGACGTGCCTAAGATCTGTGGGAGCTACGTCCGGAGGGCCGGCACGATGAGGAGGAGGCTGTAGCCCGTTGTTGTTGAAGTGGGTCTTCTATTACTATAGATATAAACTATGCTAAATAAGAATGTCTGACTTTCTTCGTTGTGTGTACTCGGTCGAGGGACTTGATTTAGGCAGGCGGAGGCAGGAGCGCGATCCGCGGGACGGGGTGACGTCGCGGCCACTCGTGTTGGGCGAGGAGCCGGAGAAGTCGACGAAGAGCAGGTTGCTCGGGCTCTTGGAGGCTGTAGCCCGTGATGGGTCAGCCGATCTGAAAGACGTAAAAGGACACGATCGCAAGAAGATGCACGGCAGCATCAGCAAGATCTTGGGGTTTGCGTGCAGCTTTTGGTACGCATCCTCCTTGGTCACAGTCCCATCCTAACGGTTTATCGGTAGGGCTATCTTACTGACAGATTGATACACACACATCGCCTTGTCCCGACCTAGTGGTTGGAGTGCTGTGTAGATATGGATATCCAGTGCTTAATAACTCTACGAGGCGTCTACTGCCACATTAAGGCAGTAGACGACGCAGAGGAACGACAACGCCATTGAAGTTCACGAGAGTGGTCATCGTCTCGACGAGCGACGCGGCAAAGGTGAGGCGTGACATGCTGTATCCAGCAGGGACAGGGGTACCCTGACTCTAACTTTCTTATAACACAATCAACAAATTCTAGTCAACATGTCGTCCATCAAAATCAACCCGACGATTTCACTTCAAACGGAATCGGTTTGGATGGTTCGTGCGTCGCGCCTTTTGGCAGCACACCGAGATTGAATAGAATCGCTGAGCGCTGCGCTTCAAGTTGCAGTCGGTGCTGATCCGCTTTGTAGAGCTCGACGGCAATGTGACGCAATCGGGGGGCATGGTTCCAGCAGCTAAAGACGCGATCGAACCAGGTGATGGGCGGCTCGCGCCCGTCGTGTGTCTGCATATAGTGGCGGCACGCATCGATGCTTTTGCCTCGGCGCTTGATGTGGTACCACTTCCAGCGCCCAAGCGTTTTGACGCGCACCTTGTTCTGGAAGCGAAAGATCGGGTAGAAAATAAGTCCAAACTGGATGCTAAGAAGGCGAAACTCGCGCCGGTTGAGCTGCTCGTCCTTGTCTTCGTCAAAATGCTCCATCGCGCGCATAAAGTTGCCGTTGAAGAAGGTGTCGGTGCGCACTTGAATCGCGCTGCAGAGGTTGCGAAACTCATTGCTGTCGAGTGCGCCTACAACAGCCAACGCCTTTTTCATCGCAAAAGCACCTTCATAGATCCAGGCGTACCTGACTCGTCCTCGTCAAACGTCTCGAAACAGAACTCAATCACGCCCTCGTTGTCCATGCAAGCAAACTTGACCACAATCTCGACAAAGTCATCAAGCGAAAGCTTCTTCGGATCGCTCCGCTGTGGCGCGAGGCGCAAAATGCCGCGCGTGTACTCGTTTTGAGGCGACTCGAGAAGGTAGTAAAATTCCACCTAGGACACAATGAGCGACAAGGATGTGCGATGTTAAGTGTACAAGGTTGATGACACCCCTAGAGACTGTCAGTATCCGCGTCAACACGAGAGAAAGGCTTACGAGTGCGTCGTGTCAATGTCATCAAACAGAGCTATCAGTCGCTTGATTTCACGGTGCGTCATGCCCGAACCGTAGCAAACGTCTTCCGTGCAACGCCGCTTGAGGCGTGGGCCGTAGACACCGACCGGCGCGCCAAGGGAATCATTGCTGGGTTCTTTTGTCGATGCTGCGCTGGCTGTTGCTTTGCCCGGTATTTCTGCAATCCTTGCGTTTGGTCGTGACAAGGATGTAAAAGTCGTCGCCGAGGTGTCGAGGCGTGGGACCGATGGGGGAAGAGCAGTCGCCGCAGGTTGCACGTTGACCTTTTGAACAACGTACTTGCCCGTCGTTCGGCTGCGCGCAAAACCAGTCAGTGTTTGCGGGCTCTTTCGCGGTCCGTCGTTGAGACCGTGGAGCTGCCCGCGCATGCTGTCAGTCTATTTTTGTTGTTTCCCACGAGACAGCCTGCACAAATGATGTCACTGGTTATTTCATTTCTTTTTATTTCTACGAACGAGTTTCCATACGACAGACCGTCTAGAGTCGTCGAAGCTTGGGAAAGGGCAGGTTGCCGCAACTCGCAACACGACATGGAGGCGTTGAATCCAATAGATGTCGCTGGTGCGGAGATGGAAAACTGGCAAGCAAAAACGCATCGAGGTCTCTTGGCTAAGTAAGTCTAAGCTCACAGGGTTTCCTCATACGGCGTTCTGTTCCAAATTGCTGGAATCCAAAATATAAGAGACCACATCAGAGATCTTATTGAGAAATGATGACGCGCATGCGTTAAATACTCGTAGTTTTGAAAACGATGTCATCGAGAGGTCTTGGCGCGAAATACTCGTAGTTTTGAAAACGATGTCATCGAGAGGTCTTGGCGCGCGTACTTGACGTGTGCTTTTTAGCTAATTGAAGCTCTTTGGCCGTCGCAGCGGGCTTGATGACGGGGTTGAGAGGCTGGGTTGGCTGCTTCTTGGATGACCTTTGCTTGTACTTGTCGTTGGGCGACGGGAGCGGGACCTTGGGCTTGGGTTTTGGTATTAGAGGCAACGCCGCGCGCTTCGCCTCGAGCGTCAAGCGCATCCGGTCCGTCTTGTAGAGCTGCGCGGCCACGAGGCGCATCTGGTTGGTCTTGTAGAGGCAGCTGCAGAGCTGGTCTTGGAGCGTAATTGGCGGCTCCCGCCCGAGGTGCGAGTGCATGTACTTGCGCCACATGTCGATCTTGCGCTCACGGTACGTGATTTGGTACCACTTCCACCACCCGAGCGTGTTTTGCAGCATCTTGTTTTGGAATTGAAAGAGCGGGTAAAAGACGAGTGGGAACTGGACGTTGATCTCCTGGAATTCGTCGAGGTCGAGGAGCCCGTCGTTGTTCTTATCGAACGAATTCATCGCTTTGCGAAAGTTGCCGTCAAAGAAGCCTTTGCCCTTGACTTGGATCGCAGCACACATGTTGAGAAACTCAATCGGATCCAATGCACCTAGAGATCGATGCTAATGAATTCTGGTGAGGCCAACGCACCTGACTCGTCTTCGTCAAACGTCTCAAAGCAAAACGTCACAACCTCGCGCGGCCGCATGCGCACAAATTTGCAAATGATTTCGACAAAGTCGTCGATCTCGAGCTTCTTCGGGTCCTTTCGCGCGGGCGCCAGACGAAGCACGCCGAGCGTATACGCGTTCTGGGGCGAGTCGAGGAGGTGGTAAAATTCAACCTACGACCACGTGCATCAGTTGTTTGCCCGCAGCATCAATGGCATCGTGGTCGCTCGCACCAAGTTGATGAGTCCACTATGCAAAACAGACCCAAAACTCAGACGCCAGGTTATCCGACATCACGTACGAGCAGTTGACGTCGATGTCGTTGAAGATCGCGATGAGTTTGCCGACTTCGTTGAGGGTCATGCCCATGGCGAAGCAGAGATCTTCGGTATCGCGACGGATAAACTGTGGACCAAAAATACCGATGGGTACTTCAAGCAGCTCCTCCAAGCTGGGCTCTTCAGGTGGTGGCGCTGCAGGCTCGATACTTGTCTCTGCGGCGTCATTCGCTACTGGCGGTGCTCCTTCCGTCTCTGTTGGTTTGCTGTTGTCGGTTGGCTTGGCGTCACTGGCGACTGGGCCGTTGGATTTGACCGCAATCTGCTTGGCACTCGATGCGGAGGGTGCGTACTTGGCCGCCTTCTTGGACGAGCTCTCCGGCGACGCGGGTTTTTTGGCCGAGTTCTCTATCGACAGAGGGTCTTGGTTCGTCGGCACGACTGCCTTGGGCATCGACACGCGCAGTGAAATAAGATATAGATAGTTGCCGGTTTCCGTCACGCAAAAGTGAGATCAAAGAAAGATCGTGGCCTTCCGCCAATCAGAAGCGAGGATTTCCCTCCTGTGGCGTTTTATTCATTGGCGACGATGGAGACGACGTCCGACTTTAAGCGCATCCTCGTGACCGGCGGCGCCGGCTTCCTCGGGCTGCACCTCTGCCGGCGCCTCCTCGAGATGGGCCATGACGTCATCTGCCTCGACAACCTCTTCACGAGCCAGAAAATCGGTCTCCGCGACCTCCAAAAGTACGAAAACTTTGAGTTTGTGCGCCACGACGTCACCAATCCGTACCACGCCGAAGTCGACGAGATCTACAACCTCGCGTGTCCCGCGTCGCCCGTGCACTACCAGTACAACCCGATCAAGACCACCAAGGTGCGTGCATCTTACAGTATCTGCCTTCGTATTCGGACGATGACGCCAGGTCTCGTTTCTGGGCGCGATCAACATGCTGGGTCTCGCCAAGCGCCTCAACGCCAAGATCCTGCAGGCATCGACGTCCGAGGTCTACGGCGACCCCGAGGTCTCGCCGCAGCCCGAGACCTATGTCGGGTGCGCTGACCTGGACTACCCACACGCATGCTCATGGATTCCGTGTAGCAATGTCAACTGCATTGGCGTGCGCGCGTGCTACGACGAAGGCAAGCGCGTCGCCGAGACGCTCTTCTTCGACTACCACCGCATGCACCAGGTCGACATCCGCGTCGCGCGCATCTTCAACACGTATGGCCCGGGCATGCACCCGCATGATGGACGCGTCGTGAGCAACTTTATCATGCAAGCGCTTGCGAACGAGCCGATCACGATCTACGGTGACGGCAGTCAGACGCGGTCGTTCTGCTATGTGGACGACCTCATCACGGGCTTGATCGAGCTCATGGAGAGCGACCAGAAGGGCCCGATCAACCTCGGGAACCCGCACGAGATCACCATCATGGAGCTTGCGACGACCATCATCCGCCTCGCGGGCTCGACGTCGACGCTTGTATGCATGGCGTCGCCCAACGACGACCCGAAGCGCCGGAAGCCCGACATTACACTGGCCAAGTACTTCTCGATGGTTCGGTGTGGCGTCCGAGTCTGATGGAGTTGAGTTGTAGAGAGCATCTCAAGTGGGAACCGACCGTCGAACTCGAGGCTGGCTTGATGCAAACGATCGAGTACTTCCGCGGCCTGGACATGCGCTTCTTCCGCAAGCCGACACCCCACACGGCGCACACGAGCAGCGAGATGGACCAGACACTGTAACTTTGTACCAGAACAAGACGACGACATGTGGTGCATACAATTGAATGCATTGTCGTGGTTAGTGCAGACGCTGTGGGTGGCGGAAAGCGCGGGGAGTCTTTGAGCGTGGCCTGCACCGGCCTCGACGGGCAAATCAGCGAGCGTGGGCACATCGGACAAGCATCATTGCGACGTCGCAGCCGAGTAATTGTGCTCCGACTGCTCTTGCTTCTTGGCTTCCGCGGCCGCCTCTTCGCGCGCCTTTCGGAGCCCCATGACGCCGTCGCCAGAGCCAATCTTGGCCCCGCTAAACTTGACGACGATGACACTCATATTGTCACGGCTACAATAACACACGGTGTTGCGATAGCGCATGGCCCATCGGCGTGTACCTTCCAAGCTGGAGACAGTGGTCCAGCATCTCTTCGCAGATAAGTCCCATGTTGTTCTCGCCCTTGAGCATCAAGCTGCGAACAAAGTCGCACGCTTCTTCGTTCGTCATAACGTCCCAGATGCCGTCGCAGGCCAAGATGAGGAACTCGTTCTCCTTGTTGCGCACCTCAATCTTGATGTCCGGCTCGGCAGATACCTACATCGGTTTAACATCGCGAATAGCGTGTATGTCGCTCGTACTTGCTGCTCTTCGGCCTTCAGGTCGCTGCGTTGCTTGTACACAAAGTCGCCAAGGGCACGCGACACCTATATGTGCAGAGGTCTGGATATTGCATGCATGGAATGCTTCGTACAGCAAGGTCGCCGTTCACGCGGTTGTTGCGGACGGAGCCGCCCGCGTTCTCAATGCGCCGCCTTTCCGTCTCGTTGTTGGGCTTGTGGTCGTACGACATGGGCACAACCGACCCATCGGTCGCGAGCACACTGCGCGAGTCGCCCGAGTTGGCCACAATGATGTGCGTGTGCGTGACGAACGCTGCGATGGCCGTGCAGCCACTATGGTCCTCGCCGCTCGCAATCTGCTTCAACTGCCGGTGGTCGGCGTCGAGCTGGAGAAAGGTGCGGTCGAGCGCCTTGCCAATGTCCGCCGGGTCGGCTTCCTTGCCGTTGATATTCTGCTTCTCGAGCACATCCGCCAGCGACATGGCGCTGTGATCCGCGATGAGCTTGCCGCCGTGGCCGTCAAAGACGGCAAAGATCGAGCAGTTGGGAAAGGCCGGGATCGTCGTGCGCGCAATGTGTGCATCTTCCATGGTCGCTCGCCAGCCCTGCATGCAGCTCACCGCGAAGGCGAGGCCGTTGCCCATGCCCACATGCGTCTCCTTCTCCGTAATGGGGCTGCTCAGGAAGTTGCCCATGGCGTTGCTCGAAAGGTCCTTGTCTTCGACGGCTAAAGGGGATTTCGTTCCGCGAATGATCGCACACGTATTTTAATAAAAAGAAGACACATTCTATTAAATAATCAACTTGGTACCTGTATTGGATGTGTCGATTTAAAATCAATTCATCCCATTCGATTTTTTAAATGTGCGGTCATGCTCGGTACCGGATAAACCTTATCCGGACACGATAACAGAGCATTTCCACCAAACGGCGACAACCCCCTTCAAAATTCAGCTGCGCTTTTGTCGACCTCAACAGTCCCGTACCAGTTGAGCCCAGTGCTTGGTCGCCCTCTGCAGGTCCAGATCACTTGCTTCATTCTGTCGCTCGCAGCTCTCGCTCGCTGTTGTGGCTGGTGCTTGGAACCGCGGGAGTGCAGCAATTATCTTAGTATTGGCGTGCTCTTGCCCTTGATGGCTCCATTCCGCAACCAAGATCTTATACTGCAAAAGCCTTTCACGCTACACTGTACGAATTGGCCGGTCTCTGCGTCTTGCCAGCAACGACGACCTTTTTCCCAACATCGTCTCCATTTGAAAATGTCGCTGGAAACAGCGTTTCAAACAGAATCTGGCCAGACGCGATATCGAATGTGAGAGGGAATCCAAATGAGTGGTGGCGTCGGCCGCGCCAGAATCTGAGGTCACTTCTGCTTTTTCACCATGGCTTACACGTTGTACGCGCCCCAGGCCGGCTCCCGCGCCTTCAAGATCTTGATCGCTGCCGAATACAACGGCGTCGACCTCAACGTCCCCGAGAAGTTCGTCATGGGCGTCGACAACAAGACGCCCGAGTTCCTCGCGCTCAACCCGCTCGGCAAGGTCCCGGTCCTCGCGACCCCGAAGGCCCGATCTACGAGTCGAACGCGATCGCTCGCTACGTCGCGCGCCTCCGCGCCGACACGGGCCTCACGGGCAAGACCTTCTACGAGTCGGGCCAGGTCGACCAGTGGGTGGACTTTGTCACGAACGAGATGGAGACGCCGCTCGCCGCCCTCCTGTACCCGATCTTCGGCTACGCCAAGTACAACCACGACGTGCACACGAAGGCCATTGAGGACCTCAAGAAGTCGCTCCACATCCTTGAGAACCACTTGCTCCTCCGCACGTACTTTGTCGGTGAGCAGGTCACTCTCGCTGATATCTGCGTCTTTGGTGCCTTGCTCTACCCGTTCAAGTTCATCTGTGACAAGGACTTCCGCAAGCCGTTCTCGAACCTCTCCCGCTGGTTCTCGACGGTCGCCAACCAGCCCGAGTTCGCCGCCATTGTCGGTGATGTCCCGCTCTGCGACGTCGCCACGGTCGCCGAGGGCGCCCCGGTCAAGGAGGTCAAGAAGGCCGCCGCCCCGGCCAAGAAGGAGAAGAAGGCCGCCGCCCCCAAGGACGACGAGGATGACTTCGAGGCCCCCAAGGAGAAGAAGGTCGAGCACCCGCTCGCCATCCTCAACCGCGAGTCGCCGGCTTCGATGAAGCTCGATGACTGGAAGGTCTGCTACTCGAACACCAAGGACCTCTCGAAGGCCATGGAGTGGCTCTGGGCCAACGTGGACACGAAGGACTACTCGTTCTGGTTCATGAAGTACAACTACAACGAGGAGAACAAGAAGATGTTCATGACGTGCAACGCCGTCGGCGGCTTCATCCAGCGCTCGGATGCCATGCGCAAGTTCTCGTTCGGTGTCATGGACGTCCTCGGCGCCGAAGGTGGCCTCATCGAAATCGTCGGCTGCTGGATGTTCCGCGGCCAGTCCGCTGAGCACATGATCGAAGCCAACCCGGATGCCGAGTACTACACGTGGACCAAGGTTGAGACGCTCGACGACGCCGCCAAGGCCCGCATTGCCGCCTACTGGTGCAACGAAGACGACCTCGAGGGCAAGCCCATCGCCGACGGCAAGGTCTTCAAGTAAATCGTGTAATCCAAAATGCGCCATTGCTGTAGATGAGATCAATTAATTAATAGGGTTGCTGTAATATATCCTATATCAACCCCACTCACGCATCCTTGCCGTACGCCAGCACCACGAGCTTCCGGCTCCACTTGTCGCGGTGCAGACGTGCCCTACACGTTGCGTGAATCAAAATGCTGCGCGATCGTCGCACCGCTCGGTCTCGGCGCGTTGGGCTGCGTCCAGCGCAGCAGCACATCGCAGTTTGTCCTCCTTCTTGCGCTTGAGCCACTCCCGATAGGCCTTGTCGACTTGCGCCGGTGTCGGGTGATTCGCCTTCTACAACCATAATGCAAATGACCTCCTGCCACGGTGGTCTCAATATCCTGCAGTCTTGGTCGGTGCCGGCGGTGGCAGTGGGGTGCGCACGGCCACCGTCGCTGGCGTCTGTTGACGCGGCTCGACCCGAGGCTTGGGCGCAGCGTCTGTGGGGCAGGGCGGTTGTTTCTTGGACTTGGACTTGAGCCATTGCCGAAAGTTTTCTTGGATCTCAGCGGCGTCGGCTCGGGGCTTGTCGACGTCGCGCGCTGGCGCGTGGAGGCGTTGCTTGGCCCGAAGCCACGACGCGAACGCTGCGTCCCGTTGAAGCTGCACACAGTGGCGTCAGTCCTCTCTGTCCTACTCTTCGCAGCAACACGCACGTGGCCGAGAACGTCGGCTGGGACGTCGCGTCGGGGCGCCGCGCGCCGCTCTTCCCAGTGCCACGTCGACCGCATCTTGCCAAGCTCGTCACGCGGAAACGAAGAAATTCTAAAATTATCAAGCTTAATGGTCGTCCATGTCGGCGACGGCGTAGGCAGCGATGGCTTCGCGGATGACGTCCTTGGCGTGGGGTACGTTGCGCCGCATGACGCCGTATGCGTCCATGCGCAGGGGCGCGGCGACGCGGACCTTGCCTTCGTCCATGAGGATGCGCAGGCCAAAGAGGAGCGCGTGCGCCTCGCACTTGGAGTCGCATACAAGCACGACCTCCTTCTCGGGTGTTGCTAATACAACACCGTGCTCGAGCGTCTACAAGTTCTTAGCGCCATGCCGTCGGTGCAAGAGAAGGAGCAACCTGCTTCACGGAAAGGCCGATGCGTGACTTGAGCACGATGGGCGACTCGAGCGAAATGCTGCTGCACTCTGCGAAGATCAGCGTCTTGCGCCCGGACTTGGCAGGGTACGTCCACTGCAGCTGGGCCCCAGTGCGGTCGACGCTGAAGAACTTGAGCTTTGGTGTGTGCTTGTAGCGCGAGCTGAGCTATGACATGCTGCACCGTAGCACGGAGATTAGAGGAGAAGACGTGTGTTCGAACCTTCTTGATGGACACGCCGCTCTGCATGGTGTGGACAAAGTGGATGAAGCGCGTGTGGTCGTCCTCGATCATACCGATCTCGGCCAGCGTAAAGTAGTCGGCGGCCGCCACAAGGGTCGTGCCCGTCTCGACCTCATCCGCTTCTCAGATTGCCATCAAATAGATTGGATGTGGACTACCTTGACAGGCCGCTCGTGGTTTTGGAGTAAACGTTCGCGGTACTGCCGGTACGCGCGCTGGACGACGTGCGCAGCCCGGTGCCGGACCTGCACCTGCTTCATCTCGACGAGGAGCTTGATATGTCGCGTCCTGCGCCGTTGCACATAGCATTTCAATGCCGAAAGCAAAAAGACGTACTTGCGCTCGGCGGCTTGGAGCTGGCAGAATGTCTCGAGCGTGCGCTCGGCCTCGGGGTGCTGCAGACCCAGCGAGAGGCGCCGGCGGTGGGCCCGAATGCGCGCAAGGAAGCCTCGCGCGAGCGCCTGCAGCTTGAGGCAGGCCATCTCGGCGCTAAGCACGTGCGGACCGTAGATGTCTTTGGTGCTGCGCGAGATTTCAGGCTCGCCACGGTAGATTGTATAAAAGAACTTCCACGCTACGCCAGCGTTCGTGAGCCATTGAACCGGATGTAGGTGGGAACCTGCAGCGCTTAAGCAGCGGTATTGGCGGGGCGTGTGCAGGTTCTTGCGAGGGGTCATGTGCTCGGTGAGGAGGTTCGTATTGGAAATGGGTCCGGGCGGCGCTGTCTCGTGGTTGCCCAGCACGAATTTGCGCCAGCGCTGCATCCACTCGGCATCGATCATAAAGACGATCGAGCCTAGGACGCTTGAGTTCCTGCTCGATACGACACGACGTCACCTTCTAAGACAGGACACATGCGGTTCAAACACTCGGCAGATACGCCTTCCTCCTCGGCTCGGACGCGGCCAAAGTCGACTTCAAGGAACGCCATAATGTCGACGGAGAAGAGCCCGCGGTTCACGAGCAGCTGGATGATACGTGAGAGGTATACAATGAGGTCTCGCGCGCGGTCGGCAGGCATCGCGAGCTTGTACTTCCACGTCTGGATGGGCAGCTACATGCAGACAAGCCATGACGCGCCCTCGCTTGCCATCCTCAGACAACATACCGTCGGAATCACGGGCAGCTTGTGCATGAGCGCTTCGTGGAGCCGCTTGAACTCCGAGTAGCGCCGCCGCACGACGTGCTTTCGCATACAGTAGTGCACGTTGATGACGTAGTTAACGTACGGCAGCTGCCACGGGCTCTGCGCGCGCTCCATACAGGCCATCGACACATCGAGCATGGCGCAGGCGCGGATGCTGCGGCTCGGGTGCTCGACCGGGTCGTCGACCGAGGCGTCCATCGAGTGCAGGAGCGGCAAGATGTCGCTGGCCTGGTACGCTTTGCGCGCCAGCGGAATCGAAGTGAGGAACCGGTACGCAATGGCTTTTTGTAAAAGTCAATGTCGAGCTCAATCCCGAGCGATCGCTTGAGACTGATCTCGCGGTACACCTGCACGATGCGCTCGACGGGCGAGCCCGCGGTGAGGCCCAGCTCGTCCCACGCGTTGGCGGCGATCTCGCGCACGTCGGCTCCGTCGGCGGCGCCCATGCTGCGGCTTCAACTCCTCCTCCTGAACGGGTCGTATCCGGATGACCAGATTCTTCCGGATCGGCGGTCCGGAGCGCCGCCATCAGATGCTATTTTATGACCTACGATTTGTATGCAATTCAATGGGGATGCGACCCAAGTTGAAGTTGGGACCGGCGAAAGATCGCGGAATCAGGCTTTCCGGGATTCGACCGGCAATTATTTGCCCGATTTCCCCCGTTTCACTCATAACCGCATATTGCTCGTCCAGCACACACGTGGCATGGCGTCGCTCAAGAAGGTCTCGACGCTCGGGAAGCGCAAGAAGTCCATCGACGGTACGCGCATGCGCTAGGCGGTGGAAGGTTGACGCGCAGTATGTGTAGCCGAAGACGTCCGCAAGATTGAAGACAAGGACCTCTTTGACCCGAAGAGCGTCTACGTGTCGCTGACGTCACATGCCGAGACGTTTGGCGTTGAGCCTGTGCGCATCATGGTACGGCGTATGCAAGGTAGAGAGAGGCTCATGCGCAAGTAACAGTGGGGCCACGAAAGCCCAGACGCCCGCGGTCCCGTCATCGGGACGCACCGCCACGACAAGTACCGTAACGCGATCGGCGCGCATGGTGGCTCGTACTGCGTCTACCGCGGCTTGGCGGTGCGATGTGCGGAAGAATCTATCGATAGCTCAAGCTAGCGACTAGGTTGCCGCGGGGGCCATGGATGCAACGTCCACGCCGGACCTCTCCAAGACAACGCCAGCGGCTAAGATCGGCCCTTTCCCATCGTGGGGAGACCCGGAGAAGGTATTCGTATCGCCTTCGCAGCGCGCATCTCAGCCTATCGAGCTAGATTGTCACGATTGACCCGTTTGGCCACTGCGTCTTGGAAGCCTTCCCCGAGCACTTTGAGAAGGGCTATGACATTCGCCCGACGATTGCCGGTAAGTCCACGTTGCACTGACGATGTGGTCTCGAGCTCTGTGTTGCAGTGACGAAAGCGCACATGGATCTGCAAGAAATCCACGATGCAGTCCAGAAGGGCCGCTTGAAGCCCGATGGAAAGGTCCTCAAAGACACATGCCAGCTCGTCATCACGAAGGCAGCTATCGACCCGGTGTGGTACTTGCCCGGCGTCGCGAAGCGCTTCAATACGACCGAGTCCCACCTGCGCCAAATGATCTTCCAAGAGACAAATGGCATGTACCCGGAGCTCGTGACGCGCAACGACCTCAAAATCTTCTTGCCGCCGATCGGTGGTCTTACCATCTACATTTTTGGCGACGTCAAGGCGATCGCGGACCCGACCAAGAAGCTCGCGGTGCGCGTCCACGACGAATGCAACGGCTCGGACGTCTTTGGCTCGGACATTTGCACGTGCCGCCCGTACTTGACGCACGCCATTGAAGTGTGTGTCGAGACGGCGCAGCAGGGCGGGTATCGTACTCGACCATGCATTCGTACGGAATCTCATGGCATGCATTAGCGCCGGCGTCATCATTTACTTTCGCAAGGAAGGCCGCGCGCTGGGCGAAGTGACCAAGTACTTGGTGTACAACCTGCGCAAGCGCCAGGAAGGCGGCGACAGTGCGGCCGAGTACTTCAACTGCACGCAGGCCGTCGCTGGCATCCAAGACGTTCGCTTCCAAGCGCTCATGCCCGATGCGCTGCACTGGCTCGGCATCACCAAGATTGACAAGTTTGTCTCGATGAGCGACATGAAGTACGACGCCATTGTCAACTCGGTACCGTTGTCGTCCACACGCACGACATGATACCATGACGGCACGACGTAGGGCATTGAGATCGTCGAGCGCATTCCGATCCCAGAAGAGCTCGTGCCCAAGGACGCGCAAGTCGAGATCACAGCCAAGGTCTTGCTGGCTACAACGGCGGCAAGGTCTTCAAGAAGCTCGACAAGGAGGAACTCAAGCAGGTCAAGGGCCGCGGCGACGACGACTACGAAGCCGACGCCGCCGAGTAGGAAGCGCCTCCTATGGCGTGTTGCTGTTTCTCGCACAACCTCGTCGTCCTTTCAACCTATTAACCCCTTATCGATGCAATTCTGGCTTTGAAGTCATGTCAGTGTTGGTTGAGACATGGAGTACACATGGGATTTCGGTGGTTTAGACATTGATGGCGTCGACGTCGTCCATCATCAAGGCTTCCTTGTGGCTCGCCAAGATCGGGTCGATGCACTCGGTGACAAACTCGGTGACCTGCTCGGGCGAGCGGCCGACAAAGAGCTTCGGGTCCAAGAGCGAGTCGAGATCCTTGTGCACGGACGCGAAGCGCGCGTCCTTGGCGATGCGCTCGAGCAAGTCGTTGGCGGCGCCTTCCTCCTTGACGCGGCGGCCCGCGGCCATCGAGTGCTCGCGAATCGCTTCGTGGAGGTCCTGGCGATCGCCGCCGGCCTTGACGCAGGCCATGAGGATGTTCTCCGTGGCCATGAACGGCAGCTCGGCCTTGATGTGCGCGGCGATGACGTTGGGCCACACCTGGAGGCCGTCCGAGACGTTCGCGATCAAGTTGAGGATCACGTCCGTGGCCAAGAAGGCTTCCGGGAGGACGATGCGGCTACACAAGAGAAACATATGAGCATCCATCGACCAGCAGACCCAAGGATGTACCGGTTGGCCGAGTCGTCGAGGGTGCGCTCAAACCACTGAGACGCGTGCGTGTGGCCGCCGTTGTCGGTGAGCGACATGACGTAGCGCGCGAGCGAGCAGACGCGCTCCGAGCGCATCGGGTTGCGCTTGTAGGCCATCGCCGACGAGCCAATCTGGTTCTTCTCGAACGGCTCCTCGATCTCCTTCATGTTGGCGAGGAGGCGGATGTCGCCGGCCATCTTGTACGCCGACTGCGCAATGCCAGAGAGGATCGAGAGCACGAAAAAGTCGATCTTGCGCGTGTACGTCTGGCCCGAGACGGGGATGACGTGCTCAAAGCCCATCTGCTCGGCCACGAGGCGGTTGAGCTGCTTGACCTTCTCGTGGTCGCCATTGAAGAGCTCGAGGAAGCTGGCCTGCGTGCCCGTCGTGCCCTTCACACCGCGGAGCGGCAGGGTCTTGATCTGGTTCTCGAGGCGCTCGTAGTCGAGGAGGAAATCTTGCAGCCAGAGCGTCGCGCGCTTCCCGACCGTCACGAGCTGCGCGGGCTGGAAGTGGGTGAAGCCCATCGTCGGCATGTCCTTGTACTGGACAGCGAAATCGCGGAGGACCTTCATGACCTTGAGCAGCTTGCGCTGGACGAGCTCGAGGCCCTGCTTGAGCTGGATGATATCGGCGTTGTCGCCGACAAAGCACGAGGTCGCGCCGAGGTGGATGATGGGCATGGCCTCGGGGGCGGCCTTGCCAAAGGCGTGGACATGGGCCATGACGTCGTGGCGGAACTTCTTCTCCATCTCGTCAGCATACGCGTAGTCAATGTCGTAGATGGCCTTCTCCATCGCGCGGAGCTGCTCGTCCGTGATGGCGATGCCGAGCTTCTTCTCCGAGCGCGCGAGCGCGAGCCAGAGCTTGCGCCACGTCGAGAACTTGGTGTGGGGCGACCACACGAGGCTCATCTCCTTCGTGGCGTAGCGGGACACGAGCGGGTGCTCGTAGCGGGTCTTGTCGTCGGTCATTATTTTGCAAACTGCGAAGTCGAAAAGATCGTTTACGAACCATTGGGATGTGCCCCGCGAGGACCAGTGGTGCCCAACAATGCTCCGGAAAGAGCCAATCATACGCGAGGGATGGGCAACATTTCAGCCAATCCGAAGAGAGATGACACGACAATCTGCCACGACACATCCATCGCCCACGAAGATCTTGTCAACTGGAGACCGTTCATGCATGGATGGGCCCGAGCCGAATGTAGACCAACGGTGAGCTCGCCACTGGTTTGCGGCCGGCATCGTTCCAAGTGTCGAGCGCGCTGGTAGTCATCCAGTGTAGCCGGCTGTGAAGACGCCACGAACCACACGCAGCGTGCATGCGGTTGAGATCTAGAGCACAACGGCTATACTCTAGATCTTTCGGCTCTCGGTCGCGCGCTGATCATTGGCGCTCGCCTCATCGACGGGCTACCTTGTACGGCCTCAGGTGGCCTCAACCAATGCATCCTCTCAACCGTCGTCTGCCGTGTGGACCAAAGGGTACCCAAGATGCGCTCGACCCGCTTGCGACTACTGCTCCACGATGCCTTGTTCGCTCGGGTGTGGCCTTGACTCCCTAAAGGCGGTACTTTAACATCCAGAGAGCAACTACCGCCCACGCCTGCCGTTGGTTTGGCATCACTTGCCGAGCAGCGCCGGGCCCGAATACATATTTCGACGACCACGCGGCAGCTCTATTTCCTTTAGATGAGTGAGATCGACAAAGCAACGACGAGGCTCGTCCGCGTACATGTGCTTCACGTTGTCCGTCATTCCGTGGCCCTTACCACTAGAACAATAGCGCCTTCGCTCCGATGGCAGATACGGCTCGTTAACTACCCTATGCTACCTCGAGCATCACACATCTTTCTTCACATCGCACCATGAGCTATTAATAGTTACAGGCGGAGACGATCCGCCTAGAAACACAAATCGCAAGAAGACTTGTCACCAACTCCGTCTCCGAGATAAGATATATGCAATCCTTTGTATCCATCCAGACACCCCTCATGACGATGGATTGACGTACTCGACGCCCAAGACGGCGTCCAACATGCACCAAGCCGCGTTCCGCTACCTCTGGCCCGTGCTCCGGGCCTGCGTCTGGTTCAACATCTGGCAAGTCCGGAACGATCGCGTCTTTCGCGCCGACCTACCGCTGCCAAGTCCATGGACGATTGCCGTCAAGGCGGCGCGTGTCGCTCAACTGCACTTGCACCACAGCCTCGTACAAGAGCCCGAACAGCCTGCTCTTCGTCGGCTTCTCCGGCTCCTCGCCCACCACGAGTGGCCGCGACGTCACCTCGTCCCGCGGATCGCACTCCTGCCTCCGCCTGCCTAAATCAAGTTCCTCAACCGAGTACACACAACGAAGAAAGTCCGACATTTTTATTTAGCATCGTTTTATCTATTGTAATAGACGACCCACTTCAACAACAACGATGGATTGACGTCATCGGCACCCAAAATAAACGGTCACGATGCTAAAATACATGGGATGCTCTCGTGCGATTGAGTGACACATCTTTAGCGTATGGAGCTTGAACAAAGGCGCGTTGAATCTGCGGCAAAATCGTTTTTCTGATGACGCATTGAATCTGGCCTCGATGCGATCGAATCCACGAACAGCGTCCGAGCTCCGGACCACCCTTGCGATACCAAACGCCTTGCTACGAGAAGCTCCCGATTCCAATGGGCACGGTTCGCAGTGGTGACTACCGGTATTACTTGACAACCGGTACAATGTGCAGCGTGTCTCTACGCTGCAAGGAGTCATCGCTGGGTGGACGGCAGGGTGGAAATGAATCCACTAGCAACGAAACACATGGTAGCCGACGTCTGTTTGCTCAGATCCAACACAAAAATCTCGATACAAACCGCAAGTCATAATACTCGTGCCAGATTCTGCCCCGAGCTTTGTGTCAGATTTGAATCGACATTTTTGCGCGATGCTCAACTTTCGCGGCAACGTCCTAACCAGGTCCCTCCCGCTGCTGATCACACAGCCATCGAGCTATGCGCCGCCCAGCCCCCGCGCCGCTTGGCAGCTTCGCCGATACATCTGCGCGATCTACGCCGTCATTGCGATCGTCGGCGTCCTTCTTCTCGCTACACGAGAAGCCCGCGAGCCCGCGCCGTCCAAAGGCGTTCAGCGGCAGTACCTCCAAGGGCGCAAGATCTTGATCGCCGCCAACTACTTCAACAACATGGACTTGCTTGACGCGCATTGCGACGAGGTACGAGGACGAGGGCTTGAGCCGAAGCTGACAAGCGAATAGATGGTACTGCTGCTCGACGCGCTCGTTCTTGCGGGCGCCACGCCGTACGTGTCCGTGTACGAGAACGGCTCTGAGGACGAAACTCCGGCCTTTCTCCGCGAGTGGAAGCGGCGGCTGGACGAGCGCGGGATCGCCAACACGATCCACGTTGACGACGCGCCGTCCTGGAGCGCGGTCTTTGAGGAGAAGAAGAAGAATGGTACTGTCAAGGGCGAGCACAAAACGGCCATTCGCATCGGGTATGCATGTCCATCAGAGTCGAGGTGTCGCTCATCTAACAATGCTGCAGGGCCATGGCCGACATCCGCAACAAGGCGCTCGCACCCCTCGATGCGTCTTTTGATGACATCCTCTTCTTCAACGACGTCGTCTTCCTCGCCGACGACATTCTGCGCCTCTTGCTCACCGCGCGCATGGAGTACGACGTCGCGTGCAGCATGGACTTTAACCGCATCACGCTCTACGACACGTGGGTTGCGCGCGACGTGAACGCCGAGCGCATGTCGTCATTTTACCCGTTCTCGGCCGACATTGTGACGCAGGGACTCATTGCGCACGGCCGGCCTTTCCCAGTCTCGAGCTGCTGGAACGGCGTCGTGGCCATGAAGGCCGCGCCGTTTCTCAAGCACCAGATCCAGTTTCGCACGTGGCGGCCGCAAGAGCTACGGCTCCTCGGGCGGCCCAGCGCGCTCCAGGGCGTCATCTACAACGACTCGTGCCCCGCGTCCGAGTGCCTCCTGATCTTTGAAGACCTCACTCGGCTTGGTTACAACCGGTTTTACATGCACCCGACCGTGCACGTGACGTACTCGACCGTCGACTGGTCGCTGCATCGCGCGCTCGGCGGTGCACTCAATCTTATCGCGTCTTGGACACTCACCTTGCACCCGCATGGGCGTGTGCCACCGGGGCACCGCATCCCGCAATGCGGTCTGGCTCGCGACATCACGGTGCAGACGTGGGTCCTTCCCGCAACGTTGTGCCTCAAGGTCGTGGTTGTGTGGCGTCTCCTGCGCTGGGTGCGCCCCGGCAAGCTCGCGATCGAGTGAGTCGACGTCGGTGTAGTCTATTTAGCAATTGTTTCAAGAATACTAAGCATCACTAGTTTTGAATCGTTTCTCGACCGCATCTTGTGGCAATAAGATCTTGGGTCCCTAGCACGTCCAAGTCCAAGTGAAACCGAGAGTCCTAAAGCGAGAGGATACGGGTCTGCTCGGCAACCTCGGCCGGTACCTAGTGCTGTCTTGACCGTGAGGTGTCTTGCAAGTTGCCTCAGGGACCATCCATTGCTGGATGTCCAGTCTCTTCACCTATTAATTTGTATGAGATCATAGTCGTCGTCTCCCACTTGGTCTACGACTACCCAAGAACTGTCATCAACGGCAACCAGACATGTTGTCGTGTTTGTTCCTTGCGAGTGGCGCCCAGTGACAACGTCTTGACCTTCATTCAGCCTCGCTATCGGTCATATCGAGCAGAAGAGTGGCACGGTACCAACAAGCACATCATGGCTTTTAGGGCAGTCTTAAGCTCTCGAGGCGACCCACGCGACAACCCGTCAGGAGGCAGCAATAATGACGTGTTTGTGTGTTTTATCGTCGGCCCTGCGCAAAGGGGGCGCTATGAGGACACGTACTTGACGCGGAGTCCGTCCGTAATGTCGAGAGGGGACGTCCGACGCGTGCTAAAGTCGCAAACGATCGTGTCGAGGCTGTTGCAACGCGCGTCTGGCTCGAGCATCGGGAGCGACTGCCGGTCCAAGGGACTTTGACGTCGGATGATGGCGACGGCCGCCACCATGGCGCAGTAGACGACAACGACGCCGACGGTGAACCAAATGCCAACGTGCGTCTCATCAACGCTCGAGGAGGGCTGTTCAAGCGCCGACGCGAAGCTGCCGCTGAAGGGGAACGTGTTGGCCATGGACGCGAGTGTTTTTGTGCGCGTCCAACTCTGCCCCTCGTAACCAACGGCGACGGTCCACGGTCGACCATGGACGAGGTGTCGACTCGACCCCTCCTTGAAGCCTGCAACAGGGAAGTAGAAGAACTGCGGATAGCTGCCATGGCCCAGAGGCTAATGATGATGGCGCGCCTGGAACAGCACCTGGTAGACAACGCCATGTGAACAAAAAGTGGCGTCGTGCGTGTCGCGTCCCACATGGGTCGGGAGGGAGCAGTGTCTCTCATCTCTCTGCCTTCTGCTGCGGAGCGTTTGAACGCGGCGGTACGCGAAGCACTCTGTACTGGCCGCTCTAGCATTCGCCCGCTGGGTCTTCGAAAGAGGCTCGTCGACGAACACGATGATAGCACAGCCGTGATGTCGGCAAGGGGACGGCAACACATGCGTCCAACGAATGGGCAGGCGTCGAAGAGGACGATGATGCTCCCCACATTCTGTGACGATACATGCCAGAAGGCGCGCTGGATCCCGCGGGTTCTACTCCACGTGCTTGTCATTTCCAAATTGATTGCCAATGCCACACGTCGCACTCCTTGGCCTCTGCATGCTTCTGCTCCGGTCCGCCGCGGCGCGCTCTGTCAACGGCAGCGCGTCCGGCAGCGACGAGCCTTCCGAGAGCCACACACTCTACGGCGCGTGGTTCACCGCCGGTGTCGTCGTCGTGTACATGGGCATGGTCGCGTCGTTCGTCCACAAGACGGCACCAGACCGCGACCTCTCGGCGCATGTCGGCCTCGACTCCAACTTTGTCAGCCTCCCCGTCCTCGAGGCCAAGTTATAACAGAGGAATACGTCACGGATCGTGCATTGAGGTCGTATTTAAAAAGAGTTACTAGTGCCGAAGCAGGTCCCCTCATCAGTCTAACAACATAGTTTCTTCATGTTGATTGTTGTTGTCTCAGAGTAATCCGATAGAGTCAATCACTGGGGAATGGTCGTTGGGCTACAATACATAATATGGAGCTAACTATAGAAGAGACCTAACGTGCTATCCTACGTACTAGTCCCTCATCAGTCTAACAACATAGTTTCTTCATGTTGATTGATTGTTGTCTCAGAGTAATCCGATAGAGTCAATCATCGGGACAAATCTACGCTACGCTTGCTCTAGCTGCGGCAAATTCGGAAATGACTGCATAAGCGAAGGCTTTCGAAGTCCGCGTATCCGGAACCCTACATTTGTACGGATAATGCGATACATATCCGACTGGTTGACCATGTTATCCGGCACCCTAGTCTCGGCGTCGGCTGGGAAGCTCCCTGGGGAATTCTTCCCGTGAAGGCCTTGGACTGTACTATGTTATAAATCACAGACACGCATCGAAGTGCGGTGGGTCCTTGTCGACTACAGCGACGGCTTGACCTTACTGCGCAGATGAAACACGAGCATCATGGCCGTCGGGCGCGTCGACGGGTCCTTGTCCACGCAGAGTGCAATCAGTTCGCGCAGTGGTTGCGTCGACGAGCTCGAGAGCTCGGGTCGGAGACCGTCCTTGACAATGCGCTGGAGCAAGTTGCTCTGCGTTGCGTCGCTGCGGGACGACCGTCCTTCCGAGTACGGCAGCGCGCACGTGTCCAGCTCGCAGAGGAGGATGCCAAAGGCGTAAATGTCGGCGGCCAGCGTCGCCGCATGGCCCGTAAGCACTTCGGGTGCGGTCCATTCAAGGTTGGCGACCGTCGCTCCGTTCGAATCGGGAAGGAGGGGCGTCGGGTGCAGCGCCGCCGAGTTGACCTTGGCGGCGAGCGGCGTCCCCGGCACAAGAAACACGTCGCGCGACGTCAAGCCGGCGTGGGCCGTCGGCTCCTCGAGCGTGTGCAGGTACACGAGCGCCTTGGCAACGTCCATCGCGATTGCGAGCTTTTCATTCTTCCACGTCCACGCTGGGGAGGCTGGCTGTTGTCGCGCCTTCTTGCCGCCGCTCGAGCTAGCACCCAACTGGGCGTCGAGCGCATCCCGAAGGCTGCCATGAGCCATAAACTCAGTCACGATGCAGAGGTTCTCGAGAAGATCCCAGCCGACGCCGACGACCGCTGTCAACTGCGGGTGGTTGATTCCCGCCATGATGCGGACGGCGCCGGTGAAGATGACAAGATTCTCACTTGGCTGCCGCGCGTCCGCGGCGAGCCGCTTGATCGTGACGCGCGTTTGGTCGAAGAAGCCGACAAGCACGTCGTAGCCGTTGGCGCTCGCGAGGCGGCGTTCAAAGTGGACGCTCGTGTAGTCGAGTCGTTTGAGGCTGATGGCCGAGTCAACCTGGAAGAGCGCGAGGTCCGGAAAGGCTTCGCCGAGGCACTGGTTGGCGGTGTCCACTTCTTGTAGCGACAGATGAACGTCGTCGACCTCGAGGTACACGTCCTTGGGATCCTTGTGTTGACGCCGCCGCCGACCGAAAACACGAGCAAAAGAATGACTGCTACGACGCCGATAGCAATGGCAATGATAGTGCCAGTCGACATAGAGGATGAGGAGGCTTGGGGCGTGAGCGTGACGGGGTCGGCGCCGTCGTTGCCGTCGACTGGAGCGTTTGCAGCCATGCCGTGAGCTCTGGAGGTGGTTGTGGTCGCTCGTACGAGGCCGCGTTGGCTGCCGTGTACAGCGCACAAGGCACGGTGCTGGACATGACCGCGAGGGACCCGCAGATGTCATTGTCCGCGTTGAGGTGGATCGAGTAGGGCATGCCCTCGGCAGTGTTGGCCGTGAGCGTAATGTTGGATTTCAGCGACCCACCATCGGTCCAGCCCCAGAGCACACCGCTGGGTGCGCTCGGTATCGCCGCCGACGACGGTATCCCGGAGGTTGGGTCGATGGCACACTTGAGCATCGACACCATCACGGGGCAGGTTCGCGTGACGGCCTTGTTTTGGCCGCACGGCGAGTCGGGGTTGCAGCTGTTGCTCAAGTCCGCGAACGCAATCTGGATGCGCTCCATGGTCGGCGCGCTCGACTTTTTGGTGTACACCTTGTAGTACGACGTACCGGCGCGGACGTAGCCGAGCGCCCAGAGCACCGCGTTCTTGGCCGTCGGCGGCAGCGAGGCCCATGCGAGCTCGTGCGTCGCCAGCAGCTGGACGACGTCGTCGGGCGGAGCGATCGTCGGTGCGTACGTGGCTACGAGCGGCGACTGGTTCCGCAGCGTCGCGACGACGTTGAGGCCCGAGCTCATGGTCGAATCCCGTCTGGTCGCTTCGGCAGTCGCTTCTTTGGCTCTGGTGATTGGTTGAAAAACATCGAAAAAAACATCTGATTGGTGCTCACGCCACATACCTTGTTCAAGGTTCTCGCAACCTCGCGCAACAGGATCGATCGTCGCGCCAAGCAAATCCTGCAGCGGCTACGAGCAGCGTACACTGCTCCTTGGACGAGAAGCCTCTCGAGCGAGGCGACGGCGTCTGCCTCGAGCGCGTGCTGGCGTGCGCGGTGTAGTAACGTTCTGGTCAGCAGCCATCGTTGTTTCTTCCGGTCGTTGGAACTGGTCAGCAGCATCCTGGTGGCTTGCACGCTTCCAGTATTAGCAGCGTATTAATGCTACTACGACGCGTTGTCAATGCTGTTAGATTGTCGAGAACTACCGTAGCTGCTTTGAGACCGCCGGTGCGCCGGTAAGCCTGTTTGGACCCCCTTCGAGGCGCGCGGACGAAGCTAGTACCGGTGGTACTTCCATCTCAATTTCTGAACGCACAAGCGATGCGTCTTCTTCAATGCGTCTTCTTCAATAGGCACAGGCTGTTCGTCACGCACGCAACTCTGTGGCCACCTCCCTCCACCACGGCGCCTCCGATGGTTTGATTGTTGCTAAACTGCGCTGGGCAATAGAAATGCAAAGCGACATATCGGTAGTCTAGTTGTGTTGATGCATTGGTCGAATAATCAAGATGTACATCGAGATGTCGTCGATCAAGCACACGTGGAGACGTTGACAATGTCGCGAACGCCTTGGAGAAGCAGTTGCCGGATCATCTGGGTGCGATCGTTGGGCCCAATGCCGAGGTCGTTTTGGATCTCGCAGACCTCTTGGCGACCGTCCGAATGCGTCACGAGCACGCGACGACACGTGGTGTTTTCGCACCAGCCGTCGCCGCCCGAGAGATGCCACGCGTTGCGCACGATGAGCTCGAACTCGTCGTCGTTGGCGATGCCGGCGCTCATGTCCTTGTAATACCCGAGAAAGTGGTGCCAGTCGATGCAGCTGGTCGCGTCAAATATCTACGGTAGCGTATACTACACAGGGTGGGAAACGACGAGCATGTACAGAGAGAAACTGGTGCAGGGCCTCGCGTGGCGTGAGCCGACCAGAGAGCACGTCCGGGTGGTGCGACGTATCAAAGCGCGACGCGAGCTCGTCGATCGACACCAGTCCATCCTTGGACGCGTCGAGGACATTGAAGGCCATGCGGACGAGCAAGATGCGGCGCTTGGCCATTCGCCCCTACGTTCTCCTAGCATAGTAAAGCTAGCACTTGATTCGTGCGACGCACTCGAAGACCACGAAGGAGCTCTTCCAACGTGATGCGGCCGTTCCCATCTCGGTCAAAGTACCGAAAGATCATGTTGAGCTCGTCGCCGTCGACATCGGCGGGGTGGGCACCGAGGTCGAGGAGCCCGTTGTGGAATTCCTGCATAAATAAGAAATCATGAATGAGGGATAGACGACGATCGCAACCTCCTTGTCGATCGTGTTGTCTCCATTGGCGTCCATGCGCCGCAGGATCACGAGGAGCGTGCGAATGCCGTTCCGGCCGCCACGGTCCAAAATCAACGCCTTGACCTAGACGACACTCCAGCCACGGGCTCATAGCCTTTCGAAACGAGTACCCGGTCGACAGCCGATAGCACTTGCGGCGCCGCGGCCCCGCGGAGGTTGAAAATCACAGCTGCAAACTCCGTATACGAGAGCGTCCCGTCGAGGTCTTGGTCAAAGCGGTCAAAGAGGTCCTCGAGTTCGGCCTGGACGCCGACAAAGTTAAGCCGCAGCATCGCGGCCATAAACTCGTGAAAGTCAATCGTGCCGGACGCATTGCTGTCAAAGAAGCGAAAGTGTTTCTCGAGAAGCTTGGCCTGCGACGCGCCATCGCGGTACCCAGACTTGACCTCGAAGAGCTGCCGCAGCTTCTCGATGAGCCCGTCACGCGCGCCTCCATGCTGCGATCTCCCGATCTTGTGCCAACAGACGCGGGCAGCGATTGGTCGAGGTCCAATATTCGACGCCACGAAATTCGGCAGACTGGGATTAGCTCTACTACGCTGCGCTACTTGGTCGTCTCAATGTCTTTGAGAAGCCCCTTCAAGCTGTCGTTCTGGTACGAGGTGGGGTTCTGCGTCGGTGGCGGCGCGTGGAGATCACGGAGGTTCGCGGCCGACCGCGCCTGCGCCCACTGCATGACAAAGTAGCCGCCGATAATGGGCGTCGTGAAGTAGACGACCTTCATGACGCGGATGCCCGCGGGCGAGAGCGGAATCCGCGTGCCATGGATCCGCTTCTTCAGGCGCGTGTGGGCGTCGCTGAGGTCTCGGAGCCAGCCCATTGCTTCTGAAAGACTGCGCAGTATCCGGAAATAAACCGGAAGAGACTATGCGCACGCAACCACAAGTCGAGTCCCGTCACTCTCGCGCCGAAACCCTCGGGTTGTAAGCTGAGGTAGCTCGACGAGATAAGACCGAGACGAACGGCAACTGCCTCACTACTGGTACTGCGCGCATCGGCGAAGGAATGGAATCGGAGGAGCGTGTGGAGACTGTACTGCTGGGCATACGGCTGCTGGGTGCGCTATCGACGACCTTGGAGAACGTAGAACGTGATTGCGTCTATCGAACGGACTGCCTTGTCGTGACGTCGAATGCTGGAACAACGACGACGGTGGACGCAGCCTCTACCTCGTCTCTGACTTGAGCTGCGATACGCACGAGCCTGACATGGTGCTATCGAAGTGATAGCGGCAGTTTGCCATCTGCAGAGCCCTGTGTGCTCGGAGGAATGATGGCAGGTCCAGCACAGCACTGGATCATCGGTTCTGCACTTGTCGTTTTGCTTAGCGCGATCTCGCCAGATAGATCTCACCCGCAGGATGCGCGCCGGTGCCGGCAAGGCACTCGACACAGTCGCGGCCGTCTCGCGTCGGCGTTGCGAAAAAATGCCCGGGCTGTCATCGTGCTTCCGTCGCCGTCCACCTCGGCATCGCATGGCGACTGGATCTCGTTTCTGGTGCTGCCACGCCACCAATCCACCTCTGCCAGACCTGTGATTGGTCAGCTAAAGTGACTTCATCCGTGCGGATTGGTCCGGATCTCGGTCCGTGCCAGCAGTTGATGGCACTCGACGCCAGTCGCAGATTTCCGATGAACCACGAGAACGTCGAAGCGCTCTTGGCGACGCTGTCGGCCCGCGGGACAAAGCTCTCGGACAGCCTCTCGAGCATGAACATCAACCTCAAGACCATCCGGCACTCGCTCAGCACTGCCGCCAAGTGGCGACAACTCGGCTACAGCCCGTTTGTGCCGGACGCCGCGGGCTTTACGGCGCTCCACCGCGCTGCACTCAAGGGCGACGCGACGCTCATCAAGTCGCTCCTCGGGACGTACGAGGGCAACCTCGTCGACTTTTGTCTCTTGGGCACCAAGAAGCAAGGCCACACCGCCATGCACATTGCGTGCAAGCACGGCCACGTCCCGGTCGTCAAGATGCTACTGAGCGTGCCCCGGGGCGCGCAACTCCTCCTCGCCAGCGACGTCCACGGCAACACACCACTGCACTTTGCAGCGACGTCGTCAGCGCCCGATGCAGGCCATGTGCTCGAAGTGATTTTACCGCACCTGCCGGCGGATCGACTCAACGACTGCAACGGCCACAGTCTGAGTCCGCTCGCGGCTCATATCGTGACGGCGACCGTCGACCACGCCGAAGTGACGCGACTCTTTCTCGAGCGGCGCGTGGACCCCAACGCGTGGGTGCGCCGTGAGAATACGCTCTTGCACGTCGCCGTGGAGCGCAAGCTCTGGAAGATTGCGGGCGTCCTCGTCGAGTTTGGGGCCGAGTGGAACGTGCCCGACAACCAGAACCGCATGGTCACCGACATGGCGTCCGACAAGGAGCTTTCGTTTCTCGTCAAGTTTGTCGCCAACTGCAAGGAGTGGGCGACCGCGGTCCGGCTCGAGTGCCAATCGTGCAGCCGCCGCTTCACGTTCTTCCGCCGCCGCCATCACTGCCGCCTCTGCGGCCGCGTTCTCTGCGGAAAGTGCACCAAGCACCGTCGGCGGCTCTTCCTCAGCGGCAAGGACAAAGCCGCCGACGCCCGCGTCTGCCACGTGTGCGTCGCTGTCATCCACGACGAACACAGCGGCAACAGCGCGACGGACGTGACGCTCGATGACCCGACGAGCTTGCTCGAAGCGTCCGCCATCATGGGCGCATCCGGCAACATTATTGGCACCCGATCGGCCGTGCTTGAAGCGTCGGCCCTCGAACAATCGACCTGTGTGATGGAGGACGAGGCGTCGTACAGCCGCGTCGAGGCGTAGTCATCCTGAACAGAATCGAGTATTTATCCACTGACACTGTACACAATGTCTTCATCGAGACGGCAGACACTCTTCGCCCGAGGTCCACGCAGAGGGCTTCGACTCCTTGATTGGCGTCGTAAGTATGCATTGAAAAAGGCGACCGGCCCGACGGAACCCGGCGCCTCCGAGAGGCCAAAGACTAGAGGCATATCGTTTTTGGTCGCTGGTGGGCGCAAGGAAGTCGATGGCGCGTCCTGCTGTGCTTGCTCGAGGCATGCTCGAGGCATGTGCCCCTGTCGCGAACTCGCGGAGAAATGCAAATCTATATGAACGTGTTCTCTTCGTATCGCTACGCCTGCATGCGTGGGCGTCGGTACTTGGTCGTTGGAAGGGAGCTGCATCGTAGTACGGAGAGATGATCCCTGCCGTGGTGGACCCCACTCGCCGAGTGGCGGAGAGTTAAATATCGATATGCATTCGATGGAACGAGTCGTATTAGACGTTGGAGAAAACAAGCACAAATTTACACTTGGTAGCCGCCGTGCGTCGGCAGCATCATCGGGCCGCCGTCCTTGAGGCTCTTGAAGTAGTAGTACAAAAAGTCGCCCATCATGATCATGTGGCCAATCTGCACGAAGATGACCGTGTACCCGACGTGGTGCCCGGCCTCCTTCTCGCCCAACTCGTGGTACGAAAACATCCAAAACCACTACGCGGCCATGAGCACCTCCTCGTATGGAGGCGAGGAAAGCACGTACGAGGTGGAGGAACGAGCCAAACGCGAGCGCGTAGACCCAGTGCGAGATGCACGACTCGACGGTGCCGCCGCCGCGCTTTTGAAACATAAAGAGCTGGGGCAAGATCGCGACCGCCTACGTGCAGGGGTGAGCGCCGAGGGTTTCGGATCTGTCGGACCTCAATGTAGAGCGCGATCGTCCACGAAACATCCGCAAACCAGTTCATGTTGAGGTTCGGGTGGATGAGCTACGACACAGAGAGTGAGCCCATGTGCAAGCGCATGATGGGCATGTACCATGCCGAGGAAGATGCACGGGCCAAGGATGTACGCAATGCCATACTCGGACGGGATGTGGAGAAAGCCAAACGTATCGTAGCGGAACTCGTACGAGCCGCGGAACTGGACCGTGACGAGGAAGATGACGCCGAGCGTCAAGGCGAGGCCGACAAACTCGATAAACGTGTAGAGCCAGTCGCCACTGCGGTCATACGGCAAGTAGCCTTGGTAGCGCAAGATCGAGCAGAGGCGGAAGAAGAACACAAACGCGTAGAGCTGGAGCGTCTTGAGCGAGAGGCCCGAGACCGAGCGCTGCGTGAGCGACTTGAAGATGAGGATGCCAAAGCCAAAGGCGCGGACAAAGGCGCCAAAGGTCTACTGCTTCGTGAGCCCGGATGCGTAGTCACGCAAGTATTACCATGAGGAACGAAAAGTCGCCATCGCTAAAGAGGTGGTAGGCGAAGATGACGAAGACGAAGAAGCCTGTCCAGAGCGCGATGTTGCCCTTGTGCTTGGTCACGAAGTGCCTACGCCGCCATGAGCCTCCTCCTCGTCCCGACGGCGACGACGTACGACATGGCGGGCTTGTCCTTGAGCATGCTGCTGGCGGCTTGGAAGGTTTTTCGGGACTGAGCTACGGCCGCAAACTGCCGGCGCCGGATACCATCCGGAACCGCACACGTGGCCTCGTGCCAGCGCGCATAAACGGTCCGGGTGGCGGAAGGTCCGGCGCCCAGCTGGGTTCGATGGCGAGGGAATTCCCTGGATCTTCCCGCATCGAACGATGGGTATGGACTGGACGGCGCGATGGAATGGCGGTGGCTGGGTCTGGCGAACGTAGTAGGGACTCGACGATCTGCCGCCATCCTGCAAGACCGCGTCCGAGTCGATGGCGTCAACGCCATGACGGATCAGACCGCGTCGTAAGTACGCGAAGCCGTCTTACGCACAAACGCTCGAGGTCGAGAGGTAAAGCTGCCTCGAGCAAGGGCCGATGCGTCAGGCAGAACGATCGCGACAAGGACTGTAGCCGGCGCGATGTCTCGGCCAAGCCGCCCGAGCGGTTGGCACGACGGCGTGCATGGATTGTCGTCACGCTGGTTTGCCAAAGGTCTCTCAGCACCAAAAGTCCAGCGTCCTCCAAGCAGCAAGCAGGTCGGTGGCGCAACCGAAAAGACGCTGTCTAGGAGCCGCTAGACATGCTCTCCCAGCGCTCGATCGGCCCCACAGACCGAATCGTTCCAGTTACTACTGCGAGCCTTGCGTCGACGGTACATGGACGTCCATCGACGCGTGATCGCCTTGCTATGGTCGACCCTACACACCGTCTAGCTCGGCCGCAACCATCGAGGCACCTGTCGCGGCACCCACCGTGGTCAAGACTCATCTCGAGGACACCCAAGCGACAAATGCGGCGTACTCGGGGTCCAGGACCACATCATTCGAGTCATTCGCCCAATTAATATCCGCGACAGCAACACCGCTGAAGGAGACATTCCATTCGCCCCTCAATGCAGATCACGTTGAAATCCTCTCCCGCAAGAGACGATCTCTCGTTCGTCAGCAGGAATGCTTGACGTGTTGACGACATTGGTAGTCGGGCGACCTCGCAGCGCGGGCGAGGAGCTACGAAGCGGTCGAGCCCATCGGACCACGCATTATTAGCACCATCAACCTCGCTTCGCCGGAAAGCCACTCGTTTGGACGCTCCCGAGAGGAAAGGAGGCGACGTAGAAAGGTACTGCCCAAGAGTAAAATGCCCAACGTCGCTGGCTCGGTGCGCGACACCGACGGTGCACGGCTCGCGATGCTTCGGGAGCGCTCGCAAGGTGGCACGGATATGCTACGGCGTTCGTCTCAACGACGTCGTGACCCAACTCGTGCATGCGAAGTCCGTGCTGTTGGACACTATTAGGTGCAAGCTGACTTTGCTGCCGACGCCCAAGGCAGAGGCCATAACGCCGCAACGCCGGCAGAAGCACGATCATCGCCTGTCCATATGCTCGGCCCATGTTGAAGACAGCCTTGAGTCACGGGTTGATTACTGGGACGTCCCGGGTCCCTGCAATCAACGTGACGGGGCGCCGCCAATGCAACATCGGAATTGGAACGTCCCGCGCATCCCCTGCACAAGCTGCAGCGCCACGCGGGGCTTCCCCTCGTCCGTTCCATTGGCGCTGGTTGTTTCTCGCACCGCAACGACGAGTCGGTAGAGGAGCCCGACGGTGTGTGCGCACCCATCTACGTTACGGTTCGCAGCAGCAGCCTTTTCTGCATGAGACCTCGGGACCAAGCTACCACGATGATTGTCCCGCGCCCCTTCCTCACTCCTCTACTTCTCTGCGAGTCCCATGG